GTACTGCAAAAACATGTAAACTGTTGATACAGGGAAGTATCAAGCATGCCAACATAAGTTTCCTTGAATTGCACACAAGGTTCAATCTTTCACTGAAACTCATGTGGGAGCTTGATGGTGTTTCTGAAGACGGGCTAGGTATATGTAGTGAAATCAAAATTAGCCAATAACAAAAGCTGCTTCAAGCTGAAATGTCCTAACAAGTTACGAACTTGTTCAGTTGGTCACAAAAACACCTCTAGTGTCCTGAGAAGTTGCTGTCGCAATCAAATCCCAGTCCACCATAATCTCATTGAGAGGACATCAAATGTCCACTGTAACAACAGCACGTGGTCATGATCCTCTCTAACAGGCTTCAGAAAGCAGTTGTAACAGTCAAAACACACCTCTACAAATCCAAGGCACCTTCTGGTCACCAGTGCTAATGGTGGCCATACAAGGTCCTCACTTTGAACTCCCTTTAATTGCCCCCTTGAGGTGCTAGGGGTTAACCAAAATGTAGAAGCTGGACATAGGGAAGACTGAGGAATCTACATGGCTTCAGAAATGCTTCAGTCATCATAGATATTGTTATGTGTTTTGTACCTCAGTGAATCACCACTTCATCGTTCTGTGCACTCATTTTCTATGGGACAGTACACATAAAATGAGACCATGTTCTTTGTCTTTCCGTTCCCACAGTCTTAGAACAAGGAACCTACAGATATGGACATAGGAGAGCCACAGTACCTTCTAGATTCTGCTCCAGCTTGCTCATCCTTGCTTCCAGTTAACACACTACTCAGCTCTCGATTCCTTGCCCATTTAGCTCATGCCATACACAAAACATCCCCAAAGGGCAAAACTAGAACTTTCCTGAAGGACACTCAGTGGAATTGTGAAAGGGGGTGACAACCAAAATGAGATCATTCAGGCCCCCATGCTTGCTTAATAGCTCACTGAAGATCTCATGCGGTCTTGATGGATCCCAGGGTATGAGCTTCAAGAGCATGACTGGGTATCAATGGCTTTGAAGCATGGAGAGTACTAAAGCACAAAGAGTGATCTCCAGTCAAGGCCGCAGCTTTTTGCAGTGTATATGGTTTGGCTCCATCTGCTGGTCCTATGTCCTCTAAAGCAGAGGTGGACAATTCCAATCCTCAAGGGTCAGACTCCCGCAAGCTGTACCACTGGAAACTAAATAGGATCTGACATCTTAGACACTCACATTAATTAAGCAAGAAAAGCAGAGGAGAAATACAAACCAGTAGATTACTGGAAAAGTACCGGAATTGTTTCAAATATACCCGAGCAGAATGTGCAAAAATTTTAACCCCCTCTCCAACACAACTATCTAGACTTTCACTTTTTGTTTACAAAGGGGGTCAGATAAAAGCTTGTTCTTAATTAATCCTATAGCATATAGGTAAAGGGACAAATGTGATGCCATTTAAAGTTATTTAAAGAATATTTATGGGGTGATGAGTAATTCCACATGCTGTATTAGCACTGACAGCACAACTCGAGATGATGTCCTTGCAGAAATGAATATAATGAGGAATAGAACAAGAAAACAGTTCAGTACTGTGCATTATCGGGGTTTGGCTTGTCAGCTTGAACTTCTGTGGCGTGGAAATATAAATCTTCAGACAAACATGAGATGAGTCAGACTTTGACATTGTGTGCTGCAAACTAACAAGGCATATTAAATTAATGTGGCTGCCACCTCTTCAATAGATTTGATGCAAATAAACATTACAAGACGTGTATAAATCACAACTGCTGTGGAGCAACAGCTGTATCTAAATCACATAAACTATATGTGATTAAATAAAACAGCGAGTGATATACCAAGAAAACAATGTAGTATGCACATTGGCAAATATTGTCACACAGTCTTTGAGTGTAAGACCTGGGAAGAGCTATTATTCTTTTCAAGTTAGTAGAGAAGTTCTTCACATTTCTGAGACTAATACAAAATGCACACATTTGCTGTCAGGAAATAACTGGAATCTAAGTTTTAATTGGACCATTTTACAGTGATAGAGATAACTTAAAAAAAACCTTTAAAGCAGGTTTTGAAAAAACAAAGTTATGTTTGCCACATTATTTTCCAGTTTCAAAAAGTTCTTCAAACATTAGCAGACCAGGGTTGATCTCAGAATTCCAGTCTGACAAAAGATCCACAGTCCTCAAGGAAATTTAATTACTGATGAAAGCTTTGCAATATTACATATCCTAATGTAATCTGCAATGTATTGTCTTCATAAATGCATACCAAGTTGTGTACTTTGCATTGTAGTTCCAGGAACAGAAGGGCAATTCTTCTATGTACTGTACAGTAGGTGTTCCCTTTGTAAAACCTTTCCTGAAGCCAACTAGTTTGTACGGTGAATATACTGCTTTACAAAATGCAAAACCGAAGTCTAATGTAACCAAATAAAAATCACTAAACATGAGATCAAAGTAATTTTGTAATACAATCAAGTTCATTTTTCAAAGTGAAACATGGCACACATGTCAAAATGAATGTTATAAAGTTAGTATGAGGCATGACCTGTCTTAACATTAACCCAATCCTGGCAGTCATGATTGATAGTGCTAGCTTGGTGTGTGCAGATTGATCTGATTGCGTTGGTCCTGCAGATGTCCTATCCTATCTGTCCTAACTGCGTAGCCTTAGTTTCAGAAATCAACAGTTTCAGACTGGCTTGTAGGAACAGAACACCTTGCAGGCTCAAGGTCTTTGCCAGTGTATCACCGAGTAGCGGGATTGGCCTCCATCTGTACCAGAGGTGTTCTTGTGTGATGATGTTGTAATTTGGATATTCTACTCTACAGTATATCATCACTCTTCTATTGTTCAACCAGTTGGCTTGCAAAAGTCAAGACAATGATGTTCACGATGTCGCACCAGTGCCGTCTAGTTCCCAAAGGCAAAATGACACTTATTGGTGAACAAGGCGCTCTGTCACTGTCTCTACCACCATCTTAGATGTTCTGTAACCTACAGAAAGTGGCAGTTTTCTGGCAACACTCTCAGCTGTCAATGGCCTTCATTTATCACAGAGCAACCAAGTAATGTTCATTCCTCAAGCTGGGAATTGATGCATCTTTCATTTTCCTGTGTAAATTATAATATTCTCTATTGGAACATCAATCTTGATCAGCTCAAGTTGGTGATTTCAAATTAGCTCAAATCCCAGACACTGGCATTTTTGCATGAGATCACATGACCTGAACATGGAATTTTGTTATTTCAAGGAGCAATATGACACAAACAATCAATAAACTATCTGATCACCGTTTAATAAGAAAATGACATTATGCATATACAGTACTTAATGAGCTCCTGATGCGAAAGTTAGACTGCTGCTTTTTCTTTCTGCAGCAGGATATACTAGGTTTGGAATGGCGCTCTACAGTACTGTATATGTATCACTGAAAAGCAGTCTCCATTGCAACTGAAGTAGCTGCAGTTCAAAGTACATCTAAAATCTTTAAGCTTAACTGCTGCTCAGTAGTTCACTTCTAAGAAGCTTTAAATGTTAAATGAAGGCCACGTCAAGGAAATGCTAATGCCCATCATTTTTTATCCAGAAACAACACGGATATATTTTTTTCAATCTATAATACAAAATAAGTTTTCTCTCTGTTCCACAGCTTGAAGACTGTAATTTGCACACTGTCAGCACATTGTAATTATACGGTAGATCTTCTGGGAAATTACTGCTGTAACTACAGTTCACCACAGTAAACGTGCACAGAACATGATTTGACCCTGCAATAGTCTGCTTTATCACTCTCCCTTCAGGCTGTATCTTACTATACTACACCTCCCAGCACTCTATCGCTGTTCTGTTATTATTGTGTGACATTAATTAAACTTTATTCAGCTTTTGAAACGGTACACCCCAGTAAATATACTGTACAGTATGACAACTAATTCTACCACCTAGACACATTTACCTTAAAAGTACTACAAACTATATAATCTGTTTTAATAAATCTATAAAGTTTTTGCAGAATTGACTGACGCTTGGCACCTTCAATACTGATACAACAACAACTTTCAAATTGGATTCTGTAGCAAATTCTAGTTTCCCACAATGTGCTTTTTCAGAAAAAAATACCGTTCATGGGATTTAGGGCTGTTTCATTTCTTAAAGACATTTGTAGCCAACCGTCATAGCCTCTGTTTCCATCAGTGATCAGAAAAGAAATTGAAAATATGATAGACATTTTGGAAGATAAGGCACTGTAAATAGTAAGGAGAATTAAATATTTCAGAAAGCAGACAGAAAGGCAGGAGAGCAGCTGAGATGCAAGGAGAGAAGTATCTATTCATTCCTGATCAATACTAACCTTTTCTTTCTGCAAGGCTTTGATTTGCCCTGGGGTATTTCTAAATGGTCCGTAAGCTTAAATGCATGACTACAGCATTGAGAAAATATTAATGACTGCCAAAACCTGCCACTGCTTTGTTTGCAAAAGATCCGAACCATGGATTTTCAACATTTCAAAGCACAGAACTTATTCAATGGTCTAATAATAATAATCACAGTCCACCTGAAATCGGTATTCATTGTTTCTGATCAGCCAGAAAATAGTGAAAACAAGCCATGGGAAGCACACGCACACACCTGTGTGTGCTATTCCATTAATAAAATGGGTGAAGTGAAGCTTACAATTAAAAATGATAAATACAGCTTTTACACTGGAAACACAATAGTCATATTTCATCATATTTCATTATACCGTAGCTGTCGCTGGTGTTGAATTGAGTTTGAACTGCATCTTCTACCCTCCTTTACTTACCTGATGACTTTCAGCTGATCTGTAGCAGTCTGTCTCCTGGTTTTTAAGAGCATATTCCTACTGGTAGCCAGCATAGTCAAATATTATCCAGCTGTCAGATTCTTGGGATTTCATTTGCAGGTGCTTACCAACCGGTGGCTTACAGATCACATATCATTATCTCCCCCCTCTCTCTCTCACTCCCCCCTGCTCTCTTTTCTTACCTCCCTGTTCACTCTTCTCTCAATTTTTCTCCGGGTCTTCACCAGACTGATTTCTCACTCTCTTCCTCTTTGCTTCATACAGCAGGTGAATGAAGCTCACACTTCATGGAGCACAGAAAAAAGTCAATTGAAAAAAAGGGCTTGGGTTTGTAAGGGGCATCTGGATGGCTGCCTCACCCTATTACAGCAGAGAATATCCATTCCGAAAGCACAGCTAGGAAAGAACAGCCAGTAACTGCTGAAACTGCACCCTGATGAAGTGAAGGACAGAAATAAAACATGAGTCTTTGGATTGTACTGGGTGAGCTGTACCTTTAAAAGCTTTTCCAACTGAACTGCCTTTAGAAAATCCTTCTCTAAAAGCGCAAATAGGAAACCTATGGCCTTTGATAGGAGGGGACGCCCTTAGGAGACGTGAATGGGATTTGTAATGAAGAATGAACATGTAATGAGACTTTCTAATGGAGCATTGTGAGGTTGTAACCTAAGATCTAAGTACAGAGGTCATAGCATGCTAGCACATTGCAATGTAAAGTGTAGAATATATAATATGCATAATAGGGAGATATTCAGGCTGCACTAGAAATAGCTGGCATGCTATGACCTCTGTACTTAGATCTTAGGTTACAACCTAAAGTTACTCGTTGTACAGCAGCTGGACAGAAAAAGAGGAAAGTGGGATGAAACTGAGCTAAAGGCTGTTAAGTGCAACTTTCAAATTAGCTGCGCTACACTCTCGCGAGATGAATGTACAGTAGCTTGTGAGTGATCCTCTCCTTGCACCCTGACCAGATACCCACTACGCATCTCAGCATTTACTTGTTTTTAAATTGTCACAGAACCGGGTTTGCTCATGTAACAAACACTCCAGGTTCTGTGTCAGCAGTGGAGGGAGGAAAGGACTTTACAGGCTTGCTGACAGCTTTATTGTTCTTTTCATTACAGTGAGAAAGTGAGCTTATCCACAGGAAATGGGGAAAGGGCAGACATCCACTGGATGAGGAGGAGGGATTCATGTTGTCTGACTGATTAGTGCAAGTTTGTGATTGCTGTTGTTTGTTCTGGTTAATCGATGTTATTTTAATTAACTTAAAAGCAATGCATTAGTACTTTAATAATGATACAGTATAAGGGAGGGTTACTTACAGTAGGTCTGTGTACTGTAATTACTAATAGTACATTACACAATGATGAAGGAGTGGACTTGGTTATATGATAAGTTCGGCTTTCCTTTAGTCCCTTCTTCTCTCTCACCTTCTCTGTGATGCACCAGTGTATTCAAACCAAATGTATGTGCACTGTATGTTTCATTTAATTATAATTCAATGACCACAGAACATATTCAAAACAGACTCTGAGACTGTCTGATGCTTTATAATTACAGTCCACTTCTATACAATACGCTACTGTGCTGGCCCACAAGGAAGAGGCCTACCTGCTACTCCACAGTGTACATACTGATCTAGGCCCAGGCTTGCTGGGTTTTTGTGATCTGGTCAGACCAGGCATCAAGGGAGTAGTGCTGGATAAACTGTATGCTGTCAATCTCGGCTTCAGAGAGCGTGTCCCTTTGTGTTGCCCGAGGAATGTTCAATTTGTCCAATTGAGGCAAGTTAATCAGATGAAACAGTCCAAATTTATTTTTGAAGATGGCATTCAAGAACAGGATTCTAAGCAAAAAGATGAAATATCAGCTATATCTTGGAACATAAGCAGAAGCATGTACAAGCAGCAAAATAAAAGCTGGTAAATAATAGATGATATACATAAACCCAGTAGTCTTGCTCTCCCTGAGTGATAGGCCTTAAAGAAGACAATAAAACCAACCCTCTCGGAAAAGTGCAATATGCTTTTATGAGATTTTTCATTGCATCCAGCTCTAAACTGAAAGTGTCAGTTTATGGTCGCATAGTCACCCAATGCTTATTTTGGATTTTTTTACAAAAACAAAACCATTCTGGATTGGCAAACCATGAAAGACCAAATGCAGCAACAGCAGAGAGAGAGAGGAATAAAAATGTCTTTGGACGTTGGTGTCGTTCAAGCCACAGGGGAAAAGTGTTATTTAAAATGACAACAGACCAGATGAACATCCAGCGATCTGTAGAACAGAAGCTTGCATAAGATGTACCATCATACAGAGCCCTAGAACTGTGATGCCCAGTAAGTAGTTACTCCTGAAAAGTTCTCCCTCGTTACGGGTTTGCAGTTTTGTTCTTTTCTAACAGCCAGGTCCTGCAGGTTAGGGTTGGGTAGTACAGCATGTGACCGGACCCTTCTTTTCCACCTTTAGTGAGCTTTAGCTTAGAAAAAGAATCTGTTCTTTTTATAGAACCAAGACATTCATTGGTTAATCCAATATTCTCAGGCACCAAAAGATCAATATTATAACATCACCTATTGCTTACAACTAAAGGAATTAATTACTACTACAGTTACTAGTTTAACCCAGGGGTAGAGGATCCTGTAAAAAAGAAATATACACAATGTCCATACATGAAGTCTCACCACATGGTGCAAAACTATCTGTGTTTTTGTGATGAGCAATACTGTTTTCTTACATACTGGTACTCACTTCTCACCTTAGCTGACCTCATTCCGGTTAAATAAGTGTTGGTCTTGGCTTTTTTTTTATATGTGACAACCTACCTGACCCTGAAACAGCTGTTCACAAGGAAATTGTGCTTTCCAGATTTAGAGTTTAAAGTCTTTATAGATGTTATAGATTATAGATGTTATGATGATATTATGAAACCTTTATGGACTGCTTCTGAAAATAAAATCCTGTCTGTTGTGTTGTGTCTATATTCCAGGTCTGAAGGACTCTGAATTGCTATTAGGCTCTTATATTGTGTTTCTCAGGTACGAATGTAATAAATGTGCAGAGTAACCAAGTGCAGATTTCTTCAGAAGGAAACTTTGTCCTGGCACCCCACTCAGCACGTTTGATAAGGATTCTAATCTTATTGTTTCTCGCCATCACTTTATGTGTCTGCTTTGTTTGTTGATGTTACTTCTTGCCTCGGGAGACCATGGTTGTATCCCAGCCCTGGAACTGAGAGTGCACACAGATGGTACCAGTGACTGGAGCAATCGTTCAGACAGGGCCAGGAAACAAAATTGCCAGGCAGTCATCTGTTGTCTGAGCTGCCACTTTTATTACAGTGGTAGCTGTGATTCTGAGGGGCTTTGCTGGAAATGATTTTTTGTTGCTTCTGTTCTGAGAGATAGGAGGTGACCTACTGGTTAAAACAGCTTTGTTGTGCATCACAAGAGAATGCATGCACACGTGAGTTGTCCTCCGCAAACATATTGGTGCTAGAGCACATTTCCTGTCAAGATGCGGAAATGTCTTGTAGACCAGCGTGATTTTCTTTTCTCAGGGGACTTTGTGTCATTTCTACATTTTATGAGCATTTTGTGAGGACACAGAAACATAATGTCAAATGAGCCTATATACTCTTTGATAACCCCATCCTTCCTGCCCTGTGAGCTTTTTGGCTCCATGGGCAAAGGGAGCAGATGGAAAAACAAACACAACAGAGGTCAATAAAATTTGTCTGAAGGTCTCAGAGCAGTCTGTGGCCTTGTGGAAACTTCCAGAATGTCCCTTTAATATTTTTGCAGGGGTTGATATCTTAACATGGGCTGTGGGCTGTGTTCCATGATGTCTCCGCAAGACAGATTTCAATGTCATCAGAGAGCCAGTGAGGAGGGAATAAGCTCTGGGTTAGGAGCAGTTTGGCTGCTGCGCTGTGTCATAAGTTGACAGTTACCAGATAATCTCTGGACAGCACACAGTAGGCTGGGCACCACCAGAGTTGTGCGATTCTAAAGCCCAAGTTCCACTGGCTTGTGCAACAGCAATTCCTGTGGCAGGACCTGGTTCTGTTTAAAGAATACTGACCCTTGGCTCAAAAATGCATGCAGGCTATTCTCATTCTTTCCTCACTCCTGGACTATTGCCACAAGTATGTTAACCCGAGTGAACTTATGCCAAAGGGTTAAAAAAAGAACAATCAGGACTTCCTGTTTTTCAAAGACAAAATCCAGACAAAAAAATCTTGCGAAGCACATCTAATTGGAAACAAACACTGTAGGATATAAAATGGTTACAATGGGCCATGCCCAATCCTAGGTACCTCCACAACTGGCGTTAAAACTAAGATTTAAAAAGTCAAGACAACTAGTTTCCCCTTCAGAATGCTGCAGAAGCTGTTCTGTTGCATGTTAATGACTTTAACTTTGCTCCACTTCCTCATTCTCCGAGAGGGTTCTGTCTAATAGACATGGTTCCATCTGAACAGATTTCCGTTTCCTTGAGACCTGACGCATACATTTAGACATCTGGCCTCCGAGTGCTCATCACAGATTGCAAGGTGGTGGGGGCGTGTTTCCATTTCGGCTTTGTCGCTCCCCGTTAGTACCTGGATAATTGCAATCATAACTCAAGGTCTGCTGGTATCAAGGCAGGTCTTCGATATTCCTGAAGAAAAACAAACCCTGAAGTTTAGCTGCCAGCCCTGGGGAATGCAAATAGTTTAATTATGCAATTTTTCCATTCCGGTTGTACAAAACACAAAAACTATATATGTCACAAAACTACAGAATAGAGAATTGCACTCTTACATTTTTCTCTAGTATGATTCATTGTAATTGATTTAATCATGAATGACCACAAGAATGAAATAAGAACAGAAACTGCGTGCTTTTGTTTTTCAGTCTTATATTCTTGCTTACAACTCACAGCTGTGGCACTATAGGACAAAAATGAACTTTTCTACGTCAGATGATAATTTATTTAAAAAAATAATATATGCTTAAACATCAGCCAAGGGGAGATTATGGACTGAAAATGAAAGTGGTAGTATTTACATAACATGCCAAACGCATGCTCAAAGCTTCTTGAGATCCTCCTCTTATCAATTAGAGGAGTTTGGCTTTCCACGCACAGCCAGACTTGAAAAATAAATCAATCAATAAATGCAAGCTCATGATAAAGTACACCAGAACATATCCCCTCCAGAAAAGCAAGCTGGTAGTAATCGATAAGTCTTTTACTTTCAGTTATAAACAGCCCAGGCTGAAGC